TTCCAGTGTCACCCTGTATTTAGCAGTATAACTTATGTACAAATACAAATTTATAATAATCCAAAGGAATAAATTAAACAACATAAATACAATTTTATTAATAATAACACTTACCAAATACTTTTTATAACAAGGTTGATTGATTAATTAACACAATTTAAATTTTAAACCAGTACCCAACTGACATTATTTTTCTGCAGTACTAAAATCAATTATTTACCTATCGTAGCATATACGAGATGCACTTATCTACGACGAGATGGTATACAAACTTTATTGATGGTAACTTTATTGGTGTCTAAGACTTTCTGCCTTGGCAGCCAGTATTAACTATAAACTGTGCTCTGGGTCTACAGTTAATTTTTCATCAATTTTTCCTCCACTTGACCTCAAAGTACACAAAACACACTTAATAACACGAATCAAAATGCATCATCTTCCAAAACGCAGGGTTTTGACATAAGTTGACACAAAATTATAACCTATAATTTGGCAAGACTTTGACAAGCCTCAAAAATCTAAAGGCGAATTCATACGCAGCGTCCGTTTGTCGTTCATCGTTCCGTCACAGTTCCGTCTTCCGTCATCCATAGTTAACTTAAAAAATATTAGAAACTTTTTTTAGTAAAATAAATAGATTGGTATTGGACGTCATCTGCTTTTCTTCTGTCATCGTCTGTCGAAATCTTACATCAACTGTAATTCGTAAACTAAGTTTTTTATAAACTTTAGTATTTGGTATATTATATACTTACCTTAAATTTAAAAGACCCTGTGCAATAATTTCGTGTGTAAATTTCCCTAAAATATAAATTTCCGGTCAGAACCATGACTTCTGAGCTTTTTGTTTTTTTGATTCATGTCAATACATGCTTTGGTTAATTTTTATGAGCGAAATGAACTGATCACGATCAATTTGCAATTTTTTCAATTATTATTACTTTTTGATGTAATTTTTTAATATAACGAGTTGCTTTTGGTGACTATTGTCGTAAAGTCATACACTGCATTGAATATTCTATACTAAATTTAAAAAAAACACATTAAAGGCTAACGATACAGTCCTGGTTTCTATAAATATTAATAATAAAGATAACAGAACTAACGATTAAGGAAATCTCTGTAATACTCAAGTATACAAACAGAAAGAAAAATCTAAAAAAATACTCTAATACTTTCTATTGCCTCCCTTAGCTGCTAAAACTGCTTGTATACGTCCGTTTATACTGTCACTAAGGCTGCATATACCATCTAAAACAAAGCGAAGTTCAGTTATTGAAGCTTCGCGACCTCTAACCCTCCTGCAAAGCATTTCCCAAATGTCGAACATGATGGGCAGTTCATAGTAGTATATAGTTCACAATAATCACCAAAGCCGCCTTTGCCATATTGAAAAATAAATTCAAAAAGAAATGATAATTGAAAAAATTACAAATTGTTGGTGGCAAGTTCATTTCGCTCTTAAAATTTAACTAAGGCATGTATTGACATGATCGAAAAAACAAAATGCTCAGGAGACATGGTTCTGACCATAAAATTATATTTTAGGAAAATTTACACACGAAATTATTGCACAGGGTGTTTTAAATTTCAGGTAAAAAACAACCTCTCGATTAAACCTGTATAATATGCCAAATACTAAAGTTTATAAAAAACTGAGTTTATGAATTAAAGTTGAAAAATGTACAGCTTGCTAAAAACAGGGCTACAAATAGCAAAAATATAACACTTTATATTTTACCAAAAATTTCTGTGTTGCGTTTTTTTGCATCTGTATGTATATTTTTAAATGTTTTATGTTTTATACTAAAGTTTCATTCAGAACCTCGAAATGAGTGCAATAAATTAGTGGTTTCAATTAGCATAGAAGTTTGATTCTGTAATTACAATGTAAGCATTCAGAACGTCAAAATTATTGTTGTTAATTTTCAATTAGTAGAAAAAGTTAAGAAACTTTTAGCCTGACAAGTTGCAAAACCCGTCTTATCCCAAAAACTTTGTTCCGAGATAATATGCAAAAACTATTTTTATAAATGTTTAAAGCGTTATTTTACAAAAAAAAAACGTGTCCATTGAGCGGAATCATTATTTTCAATCTCGTTTTTCTACAAATAAAAATTAATTTAATTTTTAAAAAGAAAAAACACAAAAATAGTACACAATATGATGTAGTAGGAATTTTGTATAAGTGTAAACCCAAAGTATGTATTAGGATGTATTTCCGGAAAGTATTTAAACTTCTATAGGGTGGCTCAAAAAAGTGTGAGTGGATCGGGATGATTTTTTTTAAATGGAACACCTTGTATATCGTTGCATTTTTGACATCCTTTCTGATCACTTTACATAATTCTATGCCAAACTTTCTAAAATATTTTTTTTTTGTTTTTCTAATAGGCACACCCTGTTATTATTTCCCTTGTTAGATAGAGAATTAAAAAATGAACATTTTATGTACTTACAGCATTTTAGAATTTTTAGCGGTTCTATTAAAAAAACGAAAATAGTAAGAACTATTTTATATTTAAGAAAGTTTGGCATACAATTTTGAACAGCCTCTATGGTTTAAGATTACGATGGGGTAATGCCAATAGTATTGGAATATTGGAATCAAGGGGTGTTTTGTCTACCTTTGTCTACCCAGGGTACGCCACTTTTAACACGAATATAAATTTTTACGCTTCATATGGGTGTTATACGTTTTACGCTTTATATATTGGTTTTAGGTTTTATTTAAACCGATTTAATGTGGGATCGTTTGTAGTTTTGTTTGATAACGTATTTGGGAAGATTAAGTACCTTGAGTCTCTGAGCAGAGATAAAAGTAGGGGAATTTTAGAATTAGCAAAATTTGGGAAGTGAACGACATAGTGGTAATCACATCATATTATAACTTGTTAATATGTACCTAATTCAGATTTCAGATTAAACAGAATTAACGAAACTTTTAAGCAACTGATTAAAAAAAAAAAAGCAAGTTTTATTATAGTCCTATTGTGTGCATCATGATGAGTTTTTAAGTATTTTGTAGCTAAGTTGTTTGACTCTTTCCAAGATCTGTCTATTAGACGAAAGAACACAAATACCAAGTTAATTATTTTAGTAAAAGTTTGAAACACCCTGTGGGATGGTTTAACAAAGTAAGGAATTCAAAAACCATTTTGTCATGAAGGTGCTTGCTTGTTTATGGATAGTTTGTTTCTTGGCTTATTTCAATAGCTCTATTCTTATTGGAGATATTTGCTTTTGAAGAATACAATGGATATTAATAACAATATTAGCTTTAAAAGTATGCCTTTCCTTTTGGTCCTGATTAATATTGTTTTTTTTCTAATGTCACCGTCACGAAAAAGTTATATTTTGGTGTGATGATGGTTTGTTTTTTTTTTGCAGTTTCTCTAGAACTAGATGGTTTTAAGTTCTGAATTTGATCTCTACCAAGTTCATTTGAAGCAACAATAGTCGATACAACTTTTGGACTTTAAATGATCTCCCTTAGAGTAAGTACCAACAAACAGTAATAATATAATATGACTTTTAAATGACAGTGACATTACAAAAACAATAAACCCTTACTTTACAAGTATATTTACTGATGAGGACCAAAATGGCATATTTTTAATGCTAAAATTGTTATTAATTTGAAGTATTCTTGAAAAGCTTTTATCTCCAACAAAAAAGCTATTTGAGAGATGAATTAAAAACAAATTACTGAGGAAAGATGCTTTTTTGCTGGTAAAGTGGTTTTAAATTCCTTGTTTAACTATATCACAGGGTGTTTCAAACTTTTGCCAAACCAGTTTTGTTTTCCCTCGTTTAACAGGGCATTAATTTTTAATAAGAAAACAGGCTGAAAGCCAACGGTCAGAAAAAAATGCATTGTAAAATGCACAATAAATCACGTTAAAATAATTAACTCGTTCTATGGAATTCGATTTACCTAATTATTTGTTTCATAAACGATTACTGATAATATAATATTGTTTTATATACATAATAAAAATTAAAGCATTCGAAACAAAGTGAATACTGTTTTATCGGATATCTAATATTTAGTCCTTTTAAAGTAATTATTACTCTATATGTTTCAAAAGTACCACGTTTAAAATAAACTGGCATTGCCTTATTGTTTTTGAAAAGTGTTGCTTGTCTATTTATTCAAATAACACGTCCTTATAATAAATTTATTTTAAGCACGAAAGTATTTTATTTCTATAAGAATTGCTAACATTTCTGTTAGGCTTTTGCCACGTGATTAATATTTGCCAATACAATGTCATGCATTTAGGATACATTAAAATACGCAACCAACCGTCCAATCAGATGAAAGAGGTACGTACAATATCGTTGGGTATTGTGCAATCACGTGATGCTCATGTCGTATGACGGTTAAATCTTTGGTTAGAATTTTTGTTGTTGTTTTTACCTGTTTTTACAGTTTTTACTTTATTTTTCTATTTACGTCAGATTTATATTTTGTAATTGCCTATCAGACAATACGTATTTAGAAAAATAATAAGAATTAGGATCGTGTTTTTTTTTAAATCCTGGATATTAATTGGAACCCTTGATAACATTACTGCTTTTGATATAAAAAGTGCATTTTTGATTATTTACTTGGGCTAGGATATTAAAATATCGGTTGGATTGTACGACATAAATAGATGTAGGTATGATTATTTATATATATGTATGTATTTATAAAGCTTACTATCTGATTTGCATTTTCAGTTTTTGATCAGATATTTCATTTTATTTGTGAAATGCCCACAAAAAAGCTTCCAATGATTCAACATCAGTGTGTTTGCTGCATAATGGATCATTCCTGCTGAATTTTTAGATCATTTGAAGACTACACGGAAAAAACCAGATAATATGTTACATTTTCATAGAAATTGATAGCGAGACAATTTTATAGGCAAGGTTAGCATTATTCGAGGCACCATCAAAGAAAGCAATAATAATATGCTTAGTCCCAGAGATATTACAGCTTAGTTATTTTGCCCTACAGGAGAAAAACCAGAGTAGTTCACTCGTAATTGCATTTTCTCGGCTCCAGTTAAAATGAACAAAGCTGGTTTTTCCTGTGGTCTTCATTTGAAATAACGTAAATAAATGTTTATACATATGTATGTGATGATTAAATTGGTGTTAAGGAATAAAAATGTTTTTCGATATTAATATATACCTATATATGTATATTTATTTTGAAATAAATTACACTTTTAACAGTTTAATGGAGTTTTTAAAGCCAGTTATAATATTTATATTTTAAAAACTTGAAATCATGTGGATGTAATCACGCATTAAACCACAGACTAACTTATATAAGTCAAAAAGTAGATTTTAGTGTTAACTTTATATAACTTGTAAGTAAAATAATAAATAAAACAAATATGAAAAAACCAACAATTCTAATGTATATATTAAAATACAGTACAATAATAGGTATCTGATACCCTCACTTAACGTAGAATAATATTCTACCCAACTCAATACTATGTCCAACATGAGTTTCAAATATATAGGGCCCTAATCGTTCCTGAAAATAATATTTTTTTACATTGTTATACCATATTCTAAACTATTTAATATTTCAGTCACTTAAAAAGTTAATTTGTATTGAATAATTGTCTACCATTAAAGCAAATTTGGACTAGTATTTTTAATGATATATTGTGTGTATGGATATAGGTACTTCCTCCAGATTTTGGGTTCAACCAATTTATTCTTAAAACCTGAAACATCTACGTATAAAAGGTAGCAGTAGACAGGTCACTAATTATAATAAAATTTGCCCTTAGAATTACTTCTATTGCAAGCAATTTCCATTGGTATACTTTTCCATGACAAATGATCAACTTCCTAAAATTTTCAATTGATGTAATACTTCCTCATGATGCGAAAAGAAAATCTTTTCGTTAGCACACAATGGACAAACGATATGTTGGCTTACTTTCAGATTAGTTACTTTTCCATAGATATCCTCATGTCAATTCAAAGACGATGAACATGATGATCATCACATGAAACATCACAAACTAAAAACCTAATAAACAAGTTTATATCGAATATAGAAATAAATTTAGTGTTCTTACCTATTGTCGTCCAAATCCACGTTAATAGATAATTAATTTTTTGGAATTTTATCTTTTATTTTTAAATATATCTTTCGAACTACTGGTTTTAGTAATTATTAAATTAAACGAACTAAAAAGTCAAAAATAATAAACAATAAACAATTAATTCTCTTGTCAATTGTCAATTTTCTCCAGGCACCGAACATTATCGATAACGCACGATCTACGACGATTACTCCTTTGATCTGATTGGACGGTTCAATGACGGTTGGTTGCGTATTTTAATGTATCCTCATGCATTTGAGGTGGACATCGAAAGATGGTGTTTGGCGGTATTGACGGGATAAGCCCGATCGGCCACAGCGTATGATTTTTGTCGCGTTCCATTATTTTGAATAGTACAATGATATTTATTATATGTTTAGTATATGACAGTTGTTAGTGACAAAAAGGAGAATTGTATCGTTTACAGGTAATGTGTTGTTTAAGTAGTTGTTTAGAATGATCAAACGTTAATATTATTTCAGTAGCATTATGGCGGCTAAAGGTTTTCTTGAAGAGTGATGGAAACGACGCCGGCCGAAATGATGCATTGTGATTTTGAATTTAACGCTGGACGAATTCAACAATTCAAATTTGCAAAGTAATATTTAACTAGATGATGAGAATTCAGATGTAGAGGAATACGAAGTCAAGCTAGCAAAATTGTTAAAAAGGTGGAACTTACTACAGCTCTTACCAGTATAAAAGGTAAAAATATATTGATGAACATTACAGAATGTACAGGGTGAGTCACCGACAGAGTAAGGTCATTATCTCCTTTGTTTTGAGATTTACAAAAATGTTAAATATAAAAGTTATAGGGAGGGTTAAGATACACATTTTAAAATTATTGTAGAATATACAGAGTGCTTCAAAAAGTGTTGCGGATATAACATGCTTTTTTAAATGCAACACCTATTTTTAATTTTATTTTTTAAATTCTACGTAAAATTCTATAACTTTTTTATCTAATAATATTTTTTATAATATAAAGGGTCCGGCAGTAGTGTGTCGGGCATCTGAAGCTCTTAGAATAATAAACTTCACAATTTTGTTTAAGTCCAAACCTAAAAAGTATGTATGAGGATGTATTTCAGGAAAATATTTCAACTTCTCTACGGTGGCTCAAAAATGTGTAAGTGGATCGGTATGTTTTTTTAAATGGAACACCCTGTATATTATTGCATTTTTTGGCTTCCTTTTGGACCACTTTACATAATATATTATATATGAGTAAATATATTTCGATAATATCAGAGATATTAATAAATAAATAAAAAAATATATTTTTTAAAACCTTCCTTATTTTTTTTACTTTATGAAGCACCCAGTATATTCTACAATAATTTAAAATGTGTATCTTAACCTTCCCTATAACTTTTGTATTTAACATTTATTTGTAAACCTCCAAACAATTATTGCGATATGGACTTTACTTACTTTATCGTTGACTCATCCTGTACAGAACAGAAATTTGTACAGGGTGGAAAATTTAATGTATTACCCAACTACAATATTTTTTCGCGAAAGAATGAGTGATTGACTTTCGAGTCTTTCAAGAAATTTAAGAACCCCACTTTTTTAAATTCAACATAGCGCGGTTTTCTCATCTATAGTGGCGTTAGGAACCTAAAAAATACTGTTTTTTTGCAATTATACGATTCAGAAAACCTGCAAATCCTGTATACCCTGTATAGAAAAATTTTCTTTTTCAGGTTAACTCCAGTTTTAAGATGGAGAAAAGTATATAATATATTTAACTAAACGTTGCTTTCTTTTTAGAATGTCTGTGACCTTTGAAGGAATCTAATAAAGACAGCTCAATTCCAGGACATTACAAAAACCATTCGTCACTAGACAAAATTCACCAGGATACCCTTATATCTATTATTTTATTTATTTTGGAAGACATTCAATACAATTGTATTTACCTACTTATCACCAAAAGATTAATTCCGAAATAACGTTATTTTCCTAATAAATTTGATATTTATTTCATTTAAATTGTTAGTACTGATCCTATTCGAATAAAATCAACTCAAGCTTTAAACAAAGTGACATATTAATAAATCATTAAGCATTGCATTTGAAAATATAAAGAGAAAAGCATGAAATGAAAGGAATGTATTTGAAAAACAAAAGGAAAACACTAATAAACAAATGTATATTTCTTTAAATCAAATAGGCAGCATTTTTATTCTAAATCTGATATACCACTAACAATGACAATGATTATGTATGTTTTATATGTACGAGTATATGCATAAAATCAATATAGATATCTTATTAATTCAATTATGACCATTAATGAGGCCAAAACATGTTTGATTATATTTGATTCATTAGCATTATTTTTGATTTTACAACGTTTTTTCTCTCAGTGAAATAATTTAGCTACAAATTGCTTAAAAATCATCAAAATCGGCCCAGTAGAACAAACTATATTGAACTTTATGTGCATTTTTCGTGCCGGATAGTGTAGTTTATTGGAAATGAATCGAATTGGAAACAAAAAATGTCAGAGACAATGTGTCGGTTGTGACATTATAATCTCGATTAAAACTGGTACCATTGACAACGCCAACATTGGACAATGTGTTGAATGAAGTAGGAAACGAGTAGCGGTCACATAACGATCTCGAGATGAACATACATGGTCACCGCAGCCTACATCATCAGCTATTTTATTAAGAGTACCATGCATATTAAATAGAATAATAACAATTTACGTTAGAAGATCGATATGGAATGTACTATTTAGCAAGTCGAGCTAAGAGGAATGGAGAAAATAGAAAATGAAATTGAAAGTTCTGGCTTAGTCTACAAAATAGGTCCTTTTTCTCTCATTATATTAAGGGGCTGTCCGTCGTATGCCGGAAACTCTGCGTCGTGTAAAGTCTACTGGGTTTCTTCCATTCATATGTCTTGCCCCATATACCTGTGCCGCGCACTAATTAGTGCAGGTTCTTGATAGGACGGAAGCATAGTTCCTCCAGTTCTAGCCATGCTTTCCCAAATAGAAAATGTTGCTTGCGAACCAGAGCCTCGCAGTGACATATTATGTGCTCTGTAGTTTCAACATTTTTATTGCAGAATGTGCAGCAAAGATTTTCTTGATTCAGATTGAGCTTGTTCAGGTGGCACTTGACAACCACATGTTCTGTCAAGAGATCTGTTGCAGTTCCTTTGGTTCTAAAATTTCCTTGGATGAAGAACTTGCTTTGTCTGTGCCCCTGTGTTTCGCCAGTGGACGGTCTGCTTTTCCCCGATCTAGAGTTTTGCTGCACTATAAGTCATTCATTTGAGTATGCCCAATATAGGCTTTAGACCAAGATAGGATTTCGAAGATGCTTGCCTTGCTAGTTTATCGAATTTTTCGTGCCTTGGATGCCTCTAAGACTTACAACCTAACCTAAGAACAATTTTAGAATTGTAACGGGGTTTTTAACAGGACACTGTCTCGTCAATGAACACCTCAGTAGTTTGAAGCTAAGAAACAACGGCAAATGCAGATTTTCTTCGAAAATGGGGAAACACCAGAACACCTCATCACTGAGTTCGCCGAGACGACAACCATTCGTGCCATACAACTTTGGCACGACTGATATCGGTGATTGAGAACCAACCTCTGTAAAACCATCTCAGATATTGGCTTTCGTCAAAGCCCTAAGACTGTATGATGAGTTATAACTCAAGAAAGGGGGATACAATAAATATGTAAGGTCGCGGTGATTAACTTCCCCTTCCCATACTATCTAAAATCTACAATGACCTGGCACTAGAGTTGCTAGATCTCCGGGATTTCCTCGAAAATCCCGTATTTATGTAAGTTTCCCGTATCCCGAAATGCGCTAATAAAATTATAAAATCAAATGTTATAGAGTTTACAAACTAAAAAAATTCACACTTAGGCTTAATATTATTCCATCACATTTTTCGATTTGGCTTCGTTCGTTTATATCTAGTTATTTACATTCTTTGGTGTTATTTGGGTAATTATACATGTGTCTTATAAATAAGTGAAAATATTTTTAGTTCTGGTATATTTCGACCCCAGGAACACGTCTATGAGTTTTTTTTCGCAAAAAATATTGTTGAAAATCATACATTTTCGTTTATATTTTCCTGTATATTTTAGAAAACTTTTTAAGATCGCAAATTTTCTCACTGTATAATTTCTTAATCTCTGATGTTACCATAGTTATACCATGGTTACGGCACTGAAAGGGATACAAATATCATTATCTCAGTCATTTTTTTAAAAATAAATCTTTTCTTTATGTTGAAACTTGAATAACTAGGTTATTTTGAACTTACGTTTGAACTTACGTTGAAAAACGATAAAGAGAAAATATGTTTCTTTTATCGAGATCTACCAGCCCGGAAAATATTTGCACTTATTTAAGACTCACTCTGTATATAACTACCTTTATTTTTTGAGAACGCTGTCGTTTTTTTTGCTATTTTTTTTACCTACCCGATTTTAGCTATAAAAATCTGACAATTCTACATGGAACCCAAACCTCAATAAGACTGTCTGACTAAAATAGTGGTTTCAATTAGCGTAGAGGTTTGTTTAGTTCAGTAATATTATGGCTCAAATTGCGATATATCCGACAAAATTCATAAAGTTTTCAAAATTGGTGGAAATAATCAGGACATCATATATATTGATAAACTGAAAAGTTCCCACCCCTAAATAGTGTGCGTCATCCCCCAGGACATCGTTTCTACCCCCATTTTGAGTTTTTTTAAATAATCTCGGCAACGGTGCAATTCTCGACAAAAATACCTACATAGAAAATTGTTCTTCATAAAATTCTCTATCAAAAAGATATATACACTTTTTTTCTAAAGTTCAAATAATAATAATCATAAAGTGGCAAATAGGGCGCAAATATAAGGGTTGGTTATGACTAGCACTATCTGCAGTTCAATCTAATTTAAAGTTTAATGTTTAACGCTAACAAAAAGCAGTAGCCACTAAATTATACTTAGAATTTTAATATACGTTTTTCTCTCACACTACCCCTATAAAATGGGTGATTTGTACTTATTTCCACATCACCCTAGAGGTAAAGTATT